AGAACTACAGTAACATCATCTGATTTCTCTCAACATGGGGACAGGAGAGCTGTCAATCAATAAATTGGAAAAAAAAAGTAACTTGCGTTACTTATTTGAAAAAGTAACTCAGATATTCTCTTGTAAATTAAAAAGTAATGCGTTACTTTATTAGTTACTTGAAAAAAAGTAATCTGATTACGTAACTCGCGTTACTTGTAATGCGTTACCCCCAACACTGGGTCTTAGTGATGTATTTTATGTCGTAGAATAAAACATGAATGTATCTTGAGCTTGTGTTCACCACACACCTTATTTGTGACCCTGCCTGTGAAAACCCAGCTAAAGTCATTTTTTGTGATTTACTGTTTTCTACATAAAATAATGGTTGAAACCAAACGTTGATGCTTGTTATCTCATAATTAGATTTTGAGACTTTAGGAAAATGATTTCACAGACAGGGTCACATTTTAGACAGTGTTGGGGAAAGTTACTTTTAAAAGTAGTACACTGCATTACAATGTTGCATTACTCCATAAAAAGTAACTAATTGCATTACGTAGTTACTTTTTATGGAAAGTAATGCATTACATTACTTTTGCATTACTTTTTGTCACCTGGGCTAGGCTTACTTGTTTGTTTTTTTAACAACGAAAATCATAAAAGTTATTTTTTGGCAACTGTAAAGGCCCTTTCACACCAAAAGTGAAATTAATAAGCTTCAGACTGAAGAAAGTGCGTCTGCCTCTGCACCTCACTCCCAATTTCTCTCCACACAGTACAGGAGAGGTGTCAGTGATAACTTGCATTACTTATTTGAAACAGTAACTGCATTACTTTACTGGTTACTTGAAAAAGTAATCTCATTACATAACGTGCATTACTTGTAATGCATTAACTCCAAACACTGATTTTAGGCATTTTACCAGAAAACTAAACTCACAAAAACCCACTGACTTCAGGGCAATGGAAATGGAAGTGCTAAAATGCGAACTCCTTTTTACATTTTTGGCCTACAAAACTACCATACATCATTCCTACAGCACTCTACTGTATGGAGAAAGAAGTGTGTTTTATTCCAAAATTTTGACCCAATGATATTTTACCCGTGTCTAGGGCAATTCACGCCAGTCATGAGTAAATACACCTTTTTTGCTGTAACAATAATCCAAACCATCTATGACACATATTCCATCATCCAGTATCACTGCATGCCTGTCATCACTTTTAAATACAACAGTGACATAAAAAGTTTTTTCTCCTTTTATTATAGCAGTTCTTTTCCATGCTGCTTCAGTCCCGTCTTTGCTGTCATCGGAAAACAGATTGAATAAACGACAAACCACACAGTCCACATTAGCACAAACCGGGTCTTTCAGCATGCTGTCTCACTTATTGACCTGAAGTCTTGCTTCTGTGAGACCTTGTAAAACCAGGTTTCTTCTTTTCCGGATGTTACTGTAATTGTTGGCAGGGCCTGTGAGTTTCTGCTGGAAGGATAACTCGATTTCGCCACCACTTTTGGCAAGTCAGTGACATTATTTATTATTGTTAAGACTAATTTCATGTAGATTTCCAACATTCTCAGAAAAAAGGGTACAAAAGCTGTCAATGGGGCAGCACTTTTTCAAAAGGTACACTGTGCATTTTTTAAAAGTGTAATGATGTCAAATTAAAAGTTTTACTTTAAAGTACATTTTAAATCATTATTTTTAATACAATTTTGCAGTATTTTAAAGAGGTACACTTATTTTGATGTGTTGACTAACATACTAAACCACATGTAAAGTATTTGATTATAATGCATGTACTGTGTTTTTCTGTGTTATATACACAACACATGTTTCAGAAATGACTTTAAAGGGGTCATATGATGCTTTTTTAAAGATCATTATTTTGTGTATTTGGTGTAACAGAATATGTTGACATGCTTTAATGTTCAAAAAACACATTATTTTTCAAATACTGTACATTATTGTAGGTCCTCTATGCCCCGCCTCTCTCAAACGCTTCGTTTTCTACAAAGTCCCTCCTTCCGACAAGCGCAGTCTGCTCTGAT